GACGGATGACCGTTATCATGGACAAATCGGACTACGTAGACAAAGCAAAAGCTCTGCTCAACGACACTACCACGTATCGCCGTCTGGAGGTTGGTCAAACTAAAAAACTTGCGAGCGAAATCAACAAGAGCCTGCAGCGACTGAAGGACCTCCAAAAGATCACAACCGAAGGATATTGGCGAATGAGAGCCAGAGAATCCACTACCCCACACTTCTACGGACTCCCGAAAGTACACACTGAGACCACACCACTAAGGCCAATTGTGTCACTCCCAGGCGCAAAGGAACTGTGGAGGAAGGTCAAGTATCTCATCAATGAATCGCAATACTCATTCAAAAACGCACAACAGTTCTTGGATAAACCAAAGAATGTGACAATAGAAGAGGACGAAACAATGGTCTCATTTGATGTCAGCTCACTGTTCACATCAGTGGACCTTCACTCCTCTAAGGACCTCTAAGGAAGGAAGACATATGTGAATTGCTCAGCCTCTGTTTGACCACGTACTTCGAATTCAACGGTGAATACTACGAACAATTGAAAAGAGCACCAATGGGTTCCCCAATTTCAGGGTTCATCGCCGAGATTGCAATGCAAAAGCTGGAGAGGACCGTGTTGCCGGACATCAACCCGAAGCTTTGGGTACGTTATGTAGACGACACCTTTGTCATCATCAAGAAGAGAGAACTACAACGAGCAATCCAATTGATAAACAGTGTCTCCGATGACATCAAGTTCACGATGGAAGAAGAAAACAACAACAAGCTGGCGGTTTTAAACGTCCTCGTGTTAAAATACAAACTGTAAATTTTTACGATGCTGAACAGTATGCCTCCAATTTGTCTTTTCAATGTGCATGAAACAGTCTAGCTTCCATACACCTGTTAGTTCTACTCTCAGGCTGTTCAACCATGAAATAATTTTGCTTTGAGAAGTGTCTGGAATAAAGTTTAACTAAAGACTTTTGGCAGCTAGCTCAGGATTTCTTTCAGACACTCACTGACAATCAACTTATTCTAACGTTTTCCAGTTGTACTTATCTGGGTTTTATTCAGGCAGCACTGTAAGAAACTCAGAAAGTCAAAGTCAAATGCTTGCATAACTGTTCACGAATGGGGTTTTGGATAGTTTAATCATGAATAAGTTTTACATCTCTAGGGATGACATTAATTTTGTAAGCCTAATTATATCCGCTATTAAAGATTTAGTCCGCCGGATCTGGTATACCGGAATGTTTATCAAAAACTGCCTGTCCATAACCTGTCGAACAGTTCTTACGGGATGTCCGTCGAGGACATTTTCCCCCAACACTTAATTACAAAAATAATTCCCATTTCATTCAACCACTTTCTATTTTGGAAATTATTCGAACTGGTAATCTCACAAATATAAAACCAAGGTACATTTTACACATTACAAATCTTTCCATCATTCCAGTTACCAGTGAAATTTGCACCCTTTATATTTTCAACGTTACCAATTGGGTAACCAGTTTTCGATTTCATTATTTGTTCGTCATTTACTTCGCTATTTCAAACTGAAATCTGCAGGTGTACTCAGAAGCCCATTGGTATTCAGTTATTTGTTGATCAATATGACCCCCTCTGAAGTAGGTCAGTAAGCATAATCTGCCTGTCTGACAGGACAATGCGCCTAATCGGTCAACATATTCGAGATGACGTGAGCAGTTCGATCAAGTAACGTCTGTCAAGAATGCTCCATTTGCAAATGCACATTGGCCGTTACTTAACACTCCAACTATTAGACTGGACAAGGAAGTAACTTGAGAAACTTAGAGGGTGCTAGTTGTTTGGGGGCGAATAATGTAATCACTGATTTATCAGCGAGTTTTCCATTTGGTCGACATAACCATGAAGAGCAACGAACAGACTACATGCGAACTTTAAGGACAGCATCGATGACATTAAGGTAGTGAGGTTTGGCATGCGAAGTCCAGTAAGATTTCCGTGCAAAAATGAAGGCCTCATAGTTGACGCCCATTAAAGTCCTTGTACATTTCAAAGGTGTGCTGTCTTGAAGGCTATTGCGCGTTATTGCGCGGAGAAGCTACTCCAATGTGCAATGACGTTTATGTAACCCACGAAGCCTTTTCAGTGTGCGTCAGCAATGGGATTTTCTCAAGGCGATTGCTGATAGTTCGGCCAAAATCGACTAAGTCACACAAAAGAGGATGTGGTTTTAGACTACAAACGTTACTGCGCAGACTACTAGTATCCTAACTGTATAATTATGATCCCGCCACCGACTTTCAGGTATACGCCTGCTCTTATTTTTTAGATGTCTGAGTATTGGTGTTCCTCGATAAACAGTTAGCAATTAGTGATTGATCACAACACATTTGTGTGGTGTTTCTGGAGTTTATTTATGCCAGACTTTTGATGTTGTCGCATTTCGTGCGCATTTTAGCTCATTTGCATCACCAATGACTACGATTATTCACTGAACCAAGAGAGACAACTACTCCATAACAAAACTACGACGAAAACCTAGCTTCCATTTGCTACTGGTTGTAACATTCACCATGTCCAAAATTTTAAAAAATGCATGGACGGTCTAATGTTTAAATAGAGGCGTTTTCTGTGCTGGTTTTCCGGTGCTTTTGTCCCCGTGTGCAAATAAATGTGGATTGTCAACGAGTTATAATGAATGTAACGTAAAAAAATCATGACTGTTTAAAATTTTTCACTGGGAAGTAGTCTCAAATCCTTTGAAAATGCTTCGTTAATAATTGCTGCTCTTCTCGGGACAAAATACCTATTATTTTTTGTATTCAAACATTAAATATATCCGGCGCCTACCTGTCATTTTGCTCGCTGCAGAAGGCAATTATTATTACATCTTTGTGAAAAACATTTCTGGCTTTTACTAATGGACGCATATGAAAATTATTCATGATACTATGAATTTGTCTGGATCAAATAAAACTACACGTTTTGCCGTCGGCCTGCATTAATCCATTGTATTTATGAACCAGTTACAACTAGTTTCCCACTCACTTACAGGCGTACCCACTGAAAGTAAGTATTGCTGTATTGCCTTCACACTTCACCTTCCACCTGCAGATCAGCTGAAAAATTTACAATCCTGGTGGGCAATCTACATGAGCTACGCTTATCACTCGATCTAACTGTAACATTCTCCTCCGTCCTTACCTTACGTGACCTATTCTGTTGATTACCAAGTAATACTCCCTTCGATCCTCAGAGATTCCAGTAAATGCCTGGCCAGTAAAACATCAGCTCATCAGGAATTAAACGAATGTCCCTAATGATGCAAGTTGGCACAGACACTTTATTTCTTATGTTACGTTTCTTCCTAAGATCGCTTATCAGACTTAAATATCCACTTGAATAAAGATTAATTAAGCAATGACTGGCGGTCGCAATCTGCCACCTGATTTCAAGCGGAATAGCATGCCGACATTTACGTAATTTTCGGTAAGTTTGGTGGATCTCCACTGAAGTAGTACGCAGATTCCATCACCCTCTTACCGACGAGATTCAGGCGTGATGTTGTCGATGGCCACGCTCTCGACTTCAAACGCTACTTTGCAATTGGCGTGTATCCCGAGTGTTTCATCTGTGTTTTGGGATACACATTCGTTAACACTAAATTTGTGAAAAATCAGAGTTGCCATAAGAGTTGAATTATTTAGTTATACAAGGCAACAAAAGAACACCTCCTGCTGGTTAACAAATACTTCGTTAAAAACTGTCGCTCAGAGCGTTTAACATACAGGCAGGCGTTTTTCAATCAGTGTCATTATGTGACATCAGGTTATATTTAACCCCTTCCATCCGACAAAACGTTGTATTAACTTATATGAACAACGACCAGTGACAGTTTTATTCATGTTATGTGTCCACTAATTACAGCAGCAAAAAGATACTCCAGTGACCACTGGTTTGTAATGAAAACTTACTATGTGAGGAAAATTTTAAAAAACTTCCGGTTTCTTGCGACTGAAAGCCCGGTTTTGCTTATGCACAGAAATTGGTATATTGTACCGGGGTTTAATACTGTTCGTGTTTGAAGTAGCATTGTTGGCCGGGAGGTGGTAGACTTGAGACTTCCTAGTGTATTCCGAGTGGCACCGGGTGGATAAATGAGACACCTGTGCAGTAAGTCCTTGCTACTGAGCATCGACTGGCCAGCTTACAATGCAAAATATCTGTTTTATTCATACAAATCTGCCTGCCCTACCAACAAGTTACAATAAATTGATTACCTTAAGCTCGCCCCTGGTCAGGGTCTTATATTCTTACGTGGACGTACAATTTGAGTGTAGTCTTTGCTGTAATATTAGTGTAATACTGATGTAATATTACAGTAATTTTGACGTCAGCACGCGATCGCAAGCCTCCTGCATATGATAATTTTATTTTCAATTTGAAGAGACAGTCAACAAAGGCTTGGTGATCATTTGGTTTTCAGTGATGCACAGGTGTACAAATTAGCCACATTGAGGAAGATAACTCACTTAACCGGCTTGCAGTAAATGAATAGTTTCACAACACAGCTTGTACCGTCGTTTAAGCTCGATTGACCAAAAGATGCACAAATGTGATGAATTTTGACCTTAAATCTTTCTGAAAAATTCATCACAAATGTTTGGGTTTTTAAATAAAAAGCAGGAGCAGCTCTTTGTAGGGGTGGCCTGGAGCTCGTAGCGAATATATTCGCCTTTAAACTGCCGAAAGTAAGTTGACAAATAAGGCAAAACAAGGAGCGTTATCAATGAATCGTTAGATCACGATTATGACTAAGGGTGTACTCAAATCCTATTCTAAATTTTTCAGCTAATATTTTTCAGCCATACTAGCAGCAGTAGGTTATGCGTATCCGATTTAACCTGGGCTGATGTATGCGGGGCTGGTAAGGTTTCAAGGGGTAGATATCCAAGATGAACTGCGCAAAAGATAGGCAAATAAAGCTAGAATATTCCAAAGATTAATTCAGGAAAAGTTGAATTCTAGAGCGGCAGGCAGAAAATTGTCATCCTACGGCTGTGATGCACACACCTGCGCACTCGGTACTAAGCTGATACTTTCATCCTGACAAACGGAAATGAAAGTTTTGATGTGAGTACTACACAAGTCATCTGCACAAGTCATCTGATCGCCCGTTGTACACTGGATACATTTATATGACGTTCAACAGTGCAATTTCGGAAGGAAAAGTGTAATTTGTATCTATTCGGACCCTGGAGCAAGGCCTGGAATTTTAGTCTGGCAGAACAGAATAACTCTAAGCATTCGTGTCACACCTGCTATCCAAACTTTCTGACTGAAAAAGAAACAATGAAGCCATTGTGATCATCGCGTTCCCCTAACCTAACCAACTTCTTCTTACAGAACAGTTAAACCTTAAGGACATCTCACTAACCAATACTAAGGGTCAGTTATGGGGAAACTGGTGAGCACTCAAGACTCGGGGTTTCATTCCCGACCTTGTTGTACATCGTTACAAAACGAACATTTGAGCCTCACTTACCTAATAATATTGGGGCTGTAAACACAATCCGTGACGGGAAACATGTACATTTTATTTTTAAAGTAGTGGTGCAGTTCCAAGTTTGAATTACGTTGACAGGCGAACAGCTATGCAAAAACATTTGTTTGTACGAGCGTCCGGATAATCCTGAAGAAGGTAACGTCTGAACACAGGAAATTCGCACACCCGTACAACTAATAGCGCAGTTGTTTCGAAATCAGAGAACCACATGCACCAACCCACATTACACTTATCAAAATGTTTCATCGCTTTTTGACATTCTCGATGC